TAAAGACTTGTGTTGTTGTTAAGTGTCGTCGAGTCAGTTCTGACTCATAGTGTCCCTGTATATTGTATCAGAGTCTTTAAATCTTTCTGGAGCAGAAAGTCTCATCTTTCTCTCGCGAAGCGACTGGTGGGCTCCACCTGCCAACCTTGTGGTTCGCAGTCCAGTGCTTATTCTACAGGCTCATAAATCCGATATCAGTCTGCGATGAGTCGGAGTTGACTCAATGACAGTGTGAGTGGGAATGAGTGAGCTGGGGAGCAGGTGGGAAATATAAAGCTGAGATCCACTCCTGGCGATCCTGAGTCAGTGGAGGAAAAGTGTGGGAACTTTATTTTTTAAAAAGGGATCCAATTTTAGGAACCACTGGCTTAGAGAGAAGTGAGAATAAGAAAGAAAAAAATTGTATTTTTTACCCTGTTTTTCTTACCCACTAGACTTTATCAGGACTCTTTGTGTGACACTAGGATCAGCACTGGACTGCAAACCACAGGTCAGTAGTTCAAACCCACCAGCTGCTCCTTGGAAACCCTGTACAAGAATGCTAGGGGTTGGAATCAACTGGACAGCAGTTAACAACATCAACAATCATATCCTACTGAAGTCTTTGTTGAATCTAATGAGCTGGACAAAAAAAGTCAGTCTGAACTGCAAGGTTGGTGGTTCAAGCTCACCATGTGCACCTTGGGAGCACTATACAGGGTCACTATGACAGCTTGAGGACTAAGGTGTGCCTGACCCAAGCTATGGTATTTTCAATAACCTCATATGCATGCGAAAGCTGGACAGTGAATAAGGAAGACCGTAGAAGAATTGATGCATTTGAGTTATGGTGTTGGAGGAGAATATTGAAAGTGCCATGGGCTGCCAAAAGAACCAATTGATCTGTGTTGGAAGAAGTGCAGCCAGAGTGTTCTTTGGAGGCCAGGATGGCCAAACTTCGTCTCTCATACTTTGGACATGTTGTCCAAAGTATGAGCACCCTACAAATTGCTTCCTTTTCTGTATTTATCAGTAATGCCCGCTTCTGCTTTCTCATCAGCAAAAAGCTGCTTAAAGCAGTACTTGAGTGTGGGCCAAGATAAAGGCAACACCACCATAAATAAAACCAAATCAGCACTCAACAGTCTCAGCAGGCCTATCGTGTGAAGTTCATCAAACACCGGAACTTGTTAGATTTTAGAACAGCCAAACTGGGACAGTGGCACAACTAAGGCCTAGGGATCTGGCCCAACACCTGACCCAGGCTCTATGATCCCATTTTATTTTTGTTCTTTCCAGGATCTTTAAAACTGATTCATGAGTCTGATTGAGGTAAGCTCAAGCATTGCCCTTTGTGTTTTCATCTGCGCTGCTTGTCAGGATCACAGTTCCTGCATAGAGAGTTCCCCTCCTAGACTTTTTCTGTTGAGAAAGAAACAAGCACGCCCACTGGAGAAGGGATGTGAAAGTGGCATTTTTTTTCAGTCAAACTTCTCTTTTAATTCAAACACTGTTGTCAGCTTGCAAGCAGGACAGGTAATAATTAAAGAGCGCCTCCCAGTTTCATTGCTGTGGGCTCCTCCCTGGACACTTGGCCACACTGCTGTGGGGAGTGATGGCTTTCGTTCCCACATCCCTCTCTCAAGCCCAAACCTCTCCGTTTGCTCTTAGACATGCAGACAGCCGTTTTCAAAGCATGCCCATCACTTTCACGGTGGTCAAAATTCATCTCTCTCTCTCTTTTAAAAATGAGCATTTTCTTTTATTTTCAGTGAATGTTTACACAGCTGTTTAAGTTCCCATTTAACCATTTTTACCCAAAACATTCAGTGGTAACACTGGTTACATTCCTCATAATGTGTGAACATTCTCATTATCTCCATTTTGGTTGTTCTGTTTTTATTAATCTAGTTTCCCTGCTCCCTTACATTCTCATCTTTATTTTAAAGTCATCATTGTTTGGTATCATAGGGTGGTGATGATGTGCTGTGGAGTTGGTTCCGACTCATAGTGACCCTGTATTTCTGAGCATTTCTGAGGCTGTAAATCTTTATGGGCGCAGAAAACTTCATCTTTCTGCCGCAGAATGGTAGTTTTGAACTGCTGACCTTGAGGTTAGCAGCCTGACTCATAACCATTATGCCACCAGAGATGATTTTTAAAAGGGGCACCGGGGTTATGGGTGATATTGTTTTTTGAGCCAATTTGGTATGTAGTGATAGGTGACCTCAGGGGTTAGTTTTGGTTCAACGTTTGAGGAGTATCTCAGGGCAGTAGTCTTGGGGAGTCCTACACAGACAGTCCAGTCAGCTTTAGGTTTTTTTTTTTTAGGAATTTGAGGTTCTGTTCCTCATTTTTCTCCCATTCTATCATGGTCTGTCTATTGTCATCATCTTTCTCTTTAACTGGTATGTTGCATTATCCAGCATCAGAAGGGTTTAGTCCCTTAACTAAAATCCACTTGTATGGGGTTGCGAATGGACTCTTTCTAAAAGGTTTTGGCTTACTATGAGGAGTCCCTGGATAATGCGAATGGTTAATATGCTCGGCTGCTAACCAAAAGATTGGAGGTTTGAGTCCACCCACAGGAACCTGGGAAGAGAGGCCTGGAGACCTAGTTGCAAAATTGTTCTTGTTGTTAAGTGCTGTCGAGTCGGTTCCGACCCATAGCGACCCACTAGAGGGTTTCCAAGGAGCAACTGGTGAGCTTGAACCACCAACCTTGCAGTTCAAACCGACTTTGCAGTCTAGCACATTAACCCACAGTGCCACACCAGAACTCCATTCGCAAAATATCAATCATCAAAAACCCTGTGGAGCACATTACTACTTTGACACTATGGAACGGACTCGACAGCAGCTGGTCTTGAGGGTAGTTCACGTGCGCATTTGTCTGTCATAGGTGGCTGAGGTTGGTCCACAGTGCACACAGTCAGTCACTGGTCAGTTCCCCACTATTTCTTTGCTGTTTTCTCTAGCCTTACTTACTCCTTTCCTCAGATCCTGAAAACCCTTAGATGGTCATATGAACAAATGATGACAAGTTGAGGTCTCCCTTTTCTTTTTCTCCTAGTATGAAATACGTAATATGCCTTTCCTCGTGCTCCAAATCATAGTTCCTTCTCTATTGATACAAATACTGTGACCTTCCCCCCTTTCCCAGCTCAGCGCTAGACACTTTAACCAAACAGCTTCCAGGTTCTTGATTCAGATTATTGTGTGCCGTGGATATGGTTCCGACTTATAACGACCCTGTTCTGGGTTTCTGAGGCTATAAATCTTTATGGGAGCAGAAAGCCCCCAGAACCAGCTGGTAGTTTTGAACTGCTGACCTGCAGTTCACAGCCCAATTCATAACCACTACGCTACCAGAGCTCCTTTTTGTTGTTGTTGTTGTGTGCCGTGGAGTGGGTTCCAACTCATAGCAACCCTACATAGGGTATCCGAGGCTGTAAATCTTTACCGGAGCATAAAGCCTCATCTTTCTCCCGCGGAACAGCTGGTAGTTTCGAACTGCTGACTGTGAGATTAGTAGCCCAATTCGTAACTGCTACGCTACCAGAGTTCCTACACCAGGATTATTGTTGTTGTTGTTGTTAAGTGCTGTCGAGTCGATTCTGACCCATAGCAACCCTGTATAGGGTTTCCAAAGAGCAGCTGGTGAGCTTGAACCACTGACCTCGCAGTTCAAACGACTTTGCAGTCTGACGCATTAGCCTACAGAGCCAAACCAGGATTTGTTGTTGTTGTTATGTGCCGTGGAGTCGGTTCCGACTCATAGCACCCTGCCTGCACAGGGTTTCCGAGGCTGTAAATCTTTACAGGAGCAGAAAGCCTCATCTTTCTCCCGCGGAACAGCTGGTAGTTTTGAACTGATGATCCTGAGGTTAGCAGCCCTATTCGTAACCACTGCGCTACCAGAGCTCCTTACACCAGGATTAGAACCCTCAAATAGGCACCGTAGAAATCCGCGACTTACCCCATTCCCTCCAATGCGTTCTAACAGGTCAAGGCAAGTTTTATAAGGTCCCATCTACAAATAAACAAGTCCCACATAAACATACAGGACACAAGGAGCTGAACCGAGTTCCTTCTTAGTTTACAATTTTTGAATCTTTATTTCAAAGAGAATTGATGGCTGTTGGACACTTGTGAGTGGAATTCCTGGGGCCAAAGGATGGGAACAAGAGGGGCTTCGGACTAGATGAGGCACAACTGGAGGACCCCAGAGTGCTGAACTCGTGTTTTCTGGAATGCCCTGCCAGCTGCTGAACCCCTAGCTCTGGGGGTCGCCTCAGTAAATGTCATAGATGATGGGGAGACAATTAGGGGCGGGTCCACCTAATTGGGACCACCCCTCTTTTGGTCCTCATTTCTGATCCTTTCTGAAGCGACCGGTCCTTCGGGGTTGTTTGGGACAGGTGCGCCGGTGTAGCAGGACTGCCGGCCTCCTCCAGCCTCGGGACAAGCTCCTGGCTTCGACAGACCAACGTCCGGGGAGCCGGGTCGCGAAGGTCGTAACTTCAACAGTGGAGACCGTCAGACCCAGGGCCATTAGAAGTTCACTCCGTCCTCCGTCCTGCCCCGCCCCGCCCCGCCCCATCCCTCCCCATTCCAAGGCCAGTCCCGCCTTCGGCCCCGCCCCTCCAGCTGCGCCTTCCAGCAGGCCCGGATCCCTGGCCCCGCCCCTCGACCGGCTCCGCTCAGGTCCCGCCCCCATCACGACCAGCCCGCCCCCGCCTCCGCCCCCTCCCAGCTCCGCCTTCGAATTGGCCCGGACTCTGGCTCCGCCCCCAGGAAAAACCCCGCCTCAGACCCGCCCCTGGACCCGCCCCGACCGGAAGAAGCGCCGGCACCGGCGTTTATAGGGCCGGGAATGGGGCTGCCGCCGCCAACTAGTCAACCTTGCGTCGGCTGAAGCTGGGCCTCTGCCGTGCTGTCGTCGCGGCGCCCCAGCTCCGTCCTCCGCCCGCTTGCCCATCCGCACCGCCCCCGGAGCCGGCCGGCCGGGCCCAGAGCCAGGGCCGAGTCCCCGCCATGCCGGCCCGGCTGCTGCTGCTGGCGCTTCTGCTGGCTGTCCCTGGGGTGAGTTGCCGGGAGAGTGGGGTGGGGGACAGCTGGGGCCGGAGTCCGAGTCGGGAGCGCAGGCCCCTTGCGCCGCCTCCGAGAGTCCAGCGGGCGCAGGGACGTGCGGGCTGGGGGCGCCTGTTTGGCCCGAGCGGCGGCCGCCACCAGGGAACCTCCTGGACACGCGACTGTCGGGGACAGCGGCTCCAGAGCACTTTTGTGACCGGCTGTGCGCCACCTCGCTGCTTCCACAAGGCCCGGGACCCTCGGGAGGCCGCCCCAAGTGCTGGACTCTCCCCACAGCTGGTCACCGGCTTGGCCCGGCAGTGGTCACAGAAGGATGTAAAGGGACCTATCATCGAGGGAAAAGGGAATGTCTTGTGTTTGCAATCCTTATTTGAACTTTAAAACGCGAAAACGAATGGAATAGGGAGTATGCAGTTTTACCCAGGGGCTGATTCAACTGACTTACCTGCTCTCCAGGTGTCTTAAAATTGGGAAGCAGAAGGCTTCCTTTTATGCAACTTACAAACTGGGGAATCTAGGTTTTTAAGACCCCATGTGGGTCAGAGGTGAAGCTGCTCCTAAACAGTCCGTGAAAGACCCTTTCCTCGGGTGAGAGTTAAATAGTGAGGGCTGTCTGCCAGGAGTGTCTTTTCACCTTTTTCTGGAGAAGAGTGTTAGGGCCAGATTCACGTTCATTTTTACATTTTCTGAACTATTTACGGCCTGCCCTAAGGCCGTGGGATTTGGGCACTGTGTTTGAGAGGACATTTTGTGGGCAGACTTCGCTTTTTTTTTCCTGCTTGAAAGAAATTAGTGAGTGTTTTTTTTGTTTTGTTTTTCACAAGTATTGTTCAGGATGTGGGCATGGTACATTTGTACAGGTTCTGTTTAATGACCTCCACTGTGTACTCTTTAATACGGTCTATCATGTGCCGGGTGTTCATTGGCGAACTGACATGTGTATGCCTGCGGAAGCTCTTTGCAGGCTATGGTTCTTAGGCAAATAATGGACTGTGATCTTGGAAGAACAATCATTTTAAACAGCTGAAGTAATTAATTAAGGTCATCTTTTTCAGATTCAGATTTGTTAAAGGAAAATTTGTATGCACTTTTAAAATGATCGAACTTGTGTCAATTAAGTTTTTCTCCGGATTGAAAAAAAAAAAAAGCTAGGTTCAGGGTTTGCAGTTTACCTTGGTTAATTGCCTGGCAGCTAGCTGTTCACAAATATTAGTATAAACAAAATGATCAAACAAATACCTGGAAATCGATGTTTCATTAACTTCTGGGCTTAGGCACATGTGGTGTTATTTTCATATGTTCTGACTTGCTATTCTGTCATTTTATTTTAGCATTTTAATTGTTATTTATTAGAGGTTTCTTTATTGTAGTGAACTTATGCTAAGGAGCCAAAAATTATTCAGCTTTAGTTGAGCCTATAGTTTCAATTCATGCAAATATTTTCAAATTGTATTTAGAAATCCAAACTTCTCAAGAGTTCATAGTAAAATAGTCCAGACCTTGTCAAAAGATTATATTTTTAGTACAGCTGTTTTTTTTTGGGGGGGGGGAAAGGTCAGCATTTCACTCCCAGAATTATTCCCCAATAAAAATCTTGACCCCCACCCAAGCATAGTGAGAATTCTTATTTTAAAATTCAAAATAAAGCTTATCACAAAGTTTGCAATAAGTTAAACTAGGCTCTGTGGGTTAGACATTGTGCTGCTAACTGCCGGCTCAGCTGTTCAAATCCACTGGCAGCTCCAAGGGGGAAAAATGAGGTCCTCTGTTCCCATAAATATTTACAGTCTTGGAAACCCAATATAAGGTGGCTGTGAGTTGGAATCCACGGCAGTGGATAAAATAGGCAGTGATGGTGTTGTGTGCAGAATGCCCTGGTGATAAAGTTAGACAAATCCAAGTACTAACTGGAGTCCTGGTGTGGCGCTGTGGGTTAATCATCAGACTGCAAAGTCGTTTGAACTTCAAAGTCGGTGGTTCAAGCTCACCAGCTGCTCCTTGGAAACCCTATATAGAGTCGCTATGGGTTGGAATCCACTGGACCAACAAGTACTAACTAATCATTTGCTGGCTATGCCCTCAGGCAAGTTATTGTTTCTTAGAAACTCTGCATTCTTAGGTGAGGCAGGGGGACAGCTGACAAGTATAAAGGCGTCTATACGCATAATAGGTAACTGAACTCCCTATAACCCATTTAAAGTGCTTTTTACTCTAAGCCAGAGGTGGTGTTATTGTTAAGTGCTGTTGAGTCAGTTCAGATCCATAATGACCCTGTATAGGGTTTCCAAGGAGCAGCCATCACATTGTTGTTAAGTGTAGTCGAGTCGGTTCGCACTCATATTGACCCTGTGTAGGGTTTCCAAAGAGCAGCTAGTGAGTTTGAACCACTGACCTTGCATTTCAAATTACAGTACCACACCAGGACTCCAGCCATCACATTGCTTTTTGTTATTGTTGTTGTGAAGTGCTGTTGAATCAGTTCCAACCCATAGTGATCCTGTATAGGGTTTCCGAGGAGCAACTGGTGAGCTTGAACCACCCACCTTGTTCAAAGGTCAAATAGCTTTGTAGTTTGGTGCATTAACCCACAGCGCCACACCAGGACTCCTTAGGGGTGAATGTTTGACCAAATATAATAGGCTAAATTTTTTTTTTAATGTTTTATTGTGAATTATGTGACAGTTTGCATGGAAGAACATTAGTTTTACATTCATCCTATCGCGTTTCATTGCCATGGTTACAGTTCCCTCCATGCATCATCAACCAAAGGGTATACACTACAAGCCTGCCCCCCCACCCCCACCCCCGTCATCAGCACACAGCCCCTCTCCCTCTCTGTGTCTAAAGTCCCCAGTTGCTCCATCTCTCCATGTCATTGTCTCTGCCTCCATCTCAGGCATCACTGCTTCTCTGGGTAGGGTCCCACTCTCCGCTCTTCTCCCTTGATGGTCCCAGGGACCTCTGCTCCTAGACTGCAAAGTCAATCACTCCCCTCCTTGCTACAAAATGTCTACCTTTACATTTCCAACCCTCACAAGCAGTCCTAATAACAAGTATTCAATATTGTATCACAAGAGACCCATCCGCATTTCATTTCATCAGCCCCGAACAGGCTAATTTTTAAAACTTGATACTTTTGTATGGCCCGTGAATGATGTTAGAAATTTTGGCAGAAAAGAGATTCCCCACCCCTGCTCTCAGCCATCATTTATTTTTTGAATGTTATATTATACTTCTGCATTAAAAAAAAAATGTATTTCTTGATTGAAGAAGTAACTGGCAAACTGTAGACAATACTGTGGGTTTTTTTAAACATCACCTTCCCCCCTCCTCCAAGTGTCTGATGAGCCAGACATTGACTCATTTTTATGGACTAAGACTCTGGACTACCAGATCCAAAATACAGTCATGTCGGTGTTGTTAAGCACTTGGGACTGTCTCCTGTTGATCCAGAATGCGCTTGTTTCATCAGTGAGATTTCCCCTTCCTGGACCTGTGTCTTGTCCCCAGTGTGTGTTTGTGCTACATCATCACTGTCACTTAAATCCTTTTATAATGGTGTTCTCTCAATTATCAGCGCGCTCTATTGCACGTGATAGGAAAGCTTTTTTTTTTTTATCATTCCATCTTATAATATGTAAAATTGCTTTTATTCAACAAGTGTTTTCGATTTAGAGGGAGGTGGGGAAAAAAGAGAGAACCATGGATCATATGTGTGACAGAAAACTCAGCCAACTGCCATTGAGTCCATCCCGACTCATGGGGACCCTGTAGACAGAAGACAACAGCCCCATAGGATTTTCTAGCCTGTACATCTGTGGGAGCAAATTGCCAGGTCTTTTCTCCTGAGGAGCCACTGGTAGGTTCAAACTGCAGACCTTTCGGTTCGTAGCTGAACCCTTAATTACCGCATCACCATGTAATAGAAAGAGTCAAAATATCAACAGAGAGATGAATCTTAATTAGGAACATTGTCTTTATCATTTATTCTGCTAGCCATCACTGCAGGCATTATCCTACCAGGTGATATTAAGATGTTTATATTGAGGCCATGAGCAGAATGCTTCATAAACTTTTACTCTCAGGGCTCTTCATCAGGAAGGAATAAGATTGCAGTTGTACACATGTGTGTTCATACATACTGCTCCATTAATTTGCCTGCCCACTTAGCTTTCTATCTTAGCGTAGCTGCTTCTAAGAGCACAAGAGAAAATGTATAGGAGATATTCCTGAATATAAAACTGGTGAGCTAAATCCAACTTTCTTCATGTCCGGATAGAAAGGTGCCACCCACATAGACGAGAGGAACAGAGTTACCAATGGATAACGATATAATTTTCATGGAAAACCTCTTTGGTTTGAGGATTCAAAGCAATCTTCAGGTGTTTTATATTACTCAAATGTTCTCACTAAAGAGATGATATAAGGGAGAAAAGCCTAAGGTATCATTTTAATGGATTCCGTTTTCATTATGCACAAATAACTTGGGGCTTGTAACCTAGCAATGTGATTAGAGTGTGATGCTGGCTTAAAAAATAGGGACAGTGAATCATAGTGCATGAATAATAAACAAGCCAGCTGGATATATTCCCTAGAACCTAGGGATTTTTTCCCTCTCCACTTTATCTTTACCTATATTCTGTGTTTGCTTTAGACTTCCCTGTGTCAGAGCAACACATAGTTACTTCACTGAGTGTAATAGACTAGATCCTAGTTGGGTAAAGTAGAACCTAAAAATGTAATTATCTTCATAAGGTCCTTGCTTGCATTCCTTTTTTAAATATGTAAGTTACTTTTATACATTGTCTACATGATTGTCTCATGATTGCTGTACATGAACAAACATAGCACAAGTAAAGACAAGAGTGTAAAAATGTGTGTTTTGTATTTTTGTTCAGCTTCTTTCACAGACTGTTCCTTATAACCTGCTAGGAAATGTACTGAGTATGTCAAAGCATTTTCATGCAGAAAGCATTTGTGCCTCTTGTTTC